GGGGGACGGACACGTGGGTGGGAGGAGGGATGGGTAGATGAAGAATGCCGTTACAGGAAAACGTGAGTAAACAGGTTTCTATGGAGAAGTGCAGTTTGGAGAGGAAGCTAACATGCCGGTGGCCTGTAAAGCCAGCGCACCGTGGCTTGGAAGCAAGTGCCCCTCTTGGGCTCTGAGAGAAGCCCTGTGTCACCGTGAAAGTCCCGGGTGGTGGCCTCTGGCTCCTGCCTCTAACGCCTGAGCATGCTGTGCAGAGGCCAACGCAGAACTTCCTGAACAAGCAACTCTCTGATGCTAGGGGCCTCCCATGGGATCTGGGACAGAAGGCTCTAAATGCCCCGTTTCTTTAAGGCTGAATTGCAGAAGACGTGGGAGCTGCCCTTTCTACCAGGAATGCTGAGAGCTCCTTTGTCAAGGACAGCTCACAGCAGGTAGCGCTCCCGCACCAGGCCTTGAGGGGCTCTGGCCTGCAGGTGCCTCGGCCTGTGCAGGTGCATGTGGTGAAGGCAGGCCGAGGGGACGGGCTGGTGACCTGTGCAGGCTCAGGCCCCTCCTCAGCAAACCCGGCGCGTTTCATCCGGGTGCTGAGGCTCAGGTAACAGAGTGACCCCCAGGGCCTCTAAGAAAAGGAGCCGCCGCAGAGGCCCGCAGAGGCCCGCTCTGGCCAGGAGAGGCCGAGGCTGCCATGCGGCGCCCCGGCCCGCGCAGACTCCGGGTTTTATAGGAGAGGCGAGCGAGGACGCTGGAAGAAGGCGGCTTTGTGCGTGCCCCGCTTGGCACAGGCCTGCATTCACATCTCATTGTTGTTTTCAGGAGAGGCAGATGCGAGCCAGAACAATGGGACCTCGTCTAGGGACACGGCGGTGACAGACTCCAAGAGCACAGGGGACCCGAAGAATGCCTGGCAGGACGCCCGCCCAGCTGACCCGGGGAGACGCCCCCACTCGACCCGCCTCTTTTCCCGAGATGCCCCGGGGAGGGAGGACAACACCTTCAAAGACAGGCCCTCCGAGTCCGACGAGCTCCAGACCATCCACGAAGACACTGCAGCTGCTCCCGAGGGCCTGGATGTGATGGCGTCACAGAAGAGACCCTCCCAGAGGCACGGGTCCAAGTACCTGGCCACAGCGGGCACCGCGGACCATGCCCGGCCCAGCTTCCTCCCGCGACACAGAGACACGGGCATCCTTGACTCTATCGGACGCTTCTTTGGCGGTGACAGGGGTGCGCCCAAGCGGGGCTCCGGCAAGGTGAGCTCTGAGGAGTAGAGAAGCTGGCTTTCTGTGAAGAAGGAGAGGCGTGGTCAGGAGGACTGAGCCGCGAGAGGCAGAGCTGGCCTGCAGGCTCGGGGTCGGGGGTCCGGCCGCGAACGCCTGGGCTGCTGCTTACCAGATTCATTTATCTCACTGCTCCCTCCTCCAAGGGACCCTGAGCAGGGCGTGGGTCGGGAGTGCAAGGGCAGGGTGCACCCTGGCCCCCCGGGGTGTCCTGGACAAGGCATTCCTCAGGGTCTCTCAGGCTGGGGGCTTCCGGCTGCTCTGCCTCTGCCGCCATATCCGGGTCCACACTGGCTTCTCCTCTTTTCTGGAGTCTGAGCAGCTAGTTGGCACTCGATGACAATGATCCGACTGAGATGGGGGCAGGCTGGGTCCCGACTGCTAAGTTTCAGCCCGCCTTGTGCAAACTTGCGCTTTCGTCTGAGCTATGGAGTAGGGTGGAGGGATAAAGGCTGTTCTGTGACTCAAACCTCAGTGTGTATTTGCTGACTCGTTCCTTGGACTCTAACACTTCGGAAGTTGTTATGTAACAGCTAACGCTCTGTGAATAGAACTGTCGCATGTACGGCCCCGGTGGCCCTGTTTCTGAGGGTGGCTTCTGGGCAGCTCTGGAGGTTGGCCTGTGGCTGGTGTTTGTTAAGATACTGACCCCATGTGGCCCCAGATCACAGACGTGGCATTCGTGTGACCCCTGGAGTGCTGGATCCTTTTAGAGGCTTTCAGGAGAAGCCACTGGTTTCCGGTGCACCCGCATTCCCCCAGGTGGGGAGGATGCCACCGCTGCCTTCCTCTTCCCGTGCCCCTGCTGTTCTCGGGGCCCATGGGAACGCGAGGGGCTTGGCACTCAGTGACTGCGGGGACCCTTGCAGTCGTAGCACAGCCCCGTACCATGGGGAGCTCTGGAGCTTCTGAGATACCTGTCGGTCTCTAAAACAACTCTTACCATTACTGATGATCACAAACTTGCGGAAGATCAACACGAATGTCAGTTTTACCTTTCCTGTGAGTTAAAGCACGTGGAAGTTTCGGGGAATTGAGGTGTCTCTACCGCCCATCCCAGGGGGGTGCTCGGGTTCTGACGCTGGTCGCGACTCTGTGTGAACGGCACTGGGTATGCCTCACATGCCCTGCACTCACACCCTGTTGGTTTGCTCGGGGTCTGTCTCTGCAGACGCCATCCTGCCCTCGAGCAGTTCTATTTCTGATGCTGGTGTCGCTGGGGTGCTTCATCCACACTTTCAAAGCACCCCAGCTCCGGGACCTGGGCCAGCAGAGAGTCTGTGGTTCCCTAGGCACCCCATGCGTGCAGCGTCACCACCTGGGAAAACATGAACCGATCTGCTTACCCCAAGGAGCAGGAACATGGGTGCATTGCAGGGTAATGCTGGGCAGCGTCTATGGGAGAACTGCTTGGTTTCGGCCGTGGGTCTCAGTTGAAATGAAAGTGGAAAAGCGTGTACATCCATCCCTGATCCCCCTCAGGGTGGGCGTATACACACAGATGTTCTCCCTCTATGAGTCACAGCCCTTATTGTTTGAAGTCTCATCAATATTTCCAAAACAAGCTTCCAGTTTCAGAAACAGTCGATGTCTGCAAGACAGCATTGCTGGATTATCAAGGATCCAGAAAACTCAAAACATTCTGAACAGGACTTTAAAAACATAGTCAATTTCTACATCATCATTTCACAGATTTTGAAGTATCAGTTCTTTGCACTACTGAGTGTTGAGAACAGATTTTCAAACGAGCAGCTTTGCCCTTTGATTTTAAAGGAAACGCCCAGCCGGAGGTGGCGTGCAGCCACGGAGCAGCCTGTACCAGCGGCTGGGGGCGCGTGGGCGCCGGGCCGGGCCGGCGGGGGGGGGGCGCCCCCCCGCGGCCCAGCCTGTACCAGCGGCTGGAGCTGCGTGGCCGCGGGGCCGGATGGACGCGGGCAGAGTTCTGAGAGGCAGCGTCTGCTAGTTAACCCAGCTGGGTCGTTGAGCGTTCCTTGCAGACGCGGAGAGACAAGCCTCGTGCTCTCTGTACCCAGGACGAGCCTGCGGGAGGCCGGAATCTGGGCTGTTTTTGACACAGGCTGCTGTGGAGCAGTTTCTCACTTTCGTTTTTATTTTTGGATTTCTCTGTTTATAAGCCAGGGCAGGCCTCATTTCTGTATGCCAGAAATATCCTTTGGATAAACTTAAGGTACTTACAAGAAAAAAATGGCCTTTTCACTGTCACCCGTGATAAAGCTCACCTTCCCCTTTCTCTATCCCATTCCTAGGAAGTCATCTCATGTCCCCAGGGAGTATGGATGACATGCCCGGTGACCGCCTGCTCCCCCGGGCTGTCACTGGGGACAGCAGTCCTGCTGCTGTGTGCAGGGTGGGGCTCGTGGTAGACCCTGTGAGACTCTGATTGCAGCCCCGACCAAGGGGCCCTTTGTCCTCGGCCCCGTCCTCTGCCAGTGCCCCTCCCCGGGACACGTGCCCCCTCCGTTGGCCGTGTGCCCTGACGATGCCCACCCGTGTGGCCAGCAGCTGACATTCAAGGAACGCGCATTAAAAATCCCTTGAGGAGGCATATTCCTTTGAGAGCCATCAGTGAAAAGTGCATTCACGGAGAACAGTCCCCTCCGTTGTTCGAGGAAAGAAAGGGGACTGTGTGTGGCCTTTAAGGAGCAGGCGCCCAGCTCCCTGGGACTCGGGCCTCACGCACGGTCGGCCTCAGGGCCGGGGGGAAAGGCACCAGCTCCCCTCGATGCCCACGCTTGTGCCAGACACGCACACCTGTGAGGTCGGCACCTGGGCCTAGCGGGCCACGCCCAGAAGCACTGGCTTTGGGGACTGTTCTTTTTCCTTCTTATGGAGCGTAGGTAAGGTTTACAGGCCAGCGACGCAGGACCGTCGGTGTGGCCCTGGGCGGTTCACAAGCAAGAAGGCAGTGAGAACACACTCATTTCCAATTTCTTCAAATCACATTTCAAATTTCTCCAAACCATACTTCAAACAGTTTTTGAAGCTAGCTATTATTCTGATGGTTTTCCCTCGTTCCCTGTTTTACGCCACTCGCTCTCTAGCACGCGGTTCCCCGTGCCGCTCATCGGACTGTGGGATGGGAACCGTTTCTCCATTTACGCTGCGGAGTGTAATCCGTCTTGTCAGTTAGTCGGAATGTGCTGCCCCTGATTACTTTCATTACATCTGGACTTCATTAAGCATGTTTCAGTTCTGCAGTAATTTAATTCCCCATTGTTAACCCGAGGACCTAACTGGCTGTCCCATAACCCTCTGGTGTGGGTGCCAAGAGATGGCATGAAGGACACAGAAGCACCTGCTTGGGGCCTCCCCAGCGTGGCCTGCCCCAGGTTGTGACTGCAGGGCTGCTCCCAGTGGTGGACAGAACTGTCCTCGCTCGCAACAGGAGAGCACTTAGCTCACGGCGAGCAGTGCACAGAGCCAAACCGAATCTCACCAGGAGCCGGGCTGGTGACTGGCTGCCACCGCCCGCTGTTGGCAAGAGCTTTGGCAGAGAAGGCAGGTGCATTTGTTTCTGCACTCAAACACTCTGGGATTTCTTACGGGACTTCCTTTTGAAGAGCCACCACCCCGACCAGTTACTGATCGGAGGTTTTCCTGGGCCATGACCGGCTGCTTCCAGTGTCCTCCGCATCCCAGCAGCCACGCCGTCCGCTGCTGTTGGAGGTGGCGATGGTTAGGGAGATGCGAGTGCCTGTGTCGACAGGGACTCTGCTGCAGCTCTGGGTAATGGATACGTCTGCGAGTGACGCTCGTGTGTCTCACGGTGACCACCTTCTGGTGGTGAGGCTATGACTGGATATTGTCACGCACTTCTGCTCTATGGTGCATTAATTAAAGCCTTTCACAGACTGAGGGTGGTGTACTAATTGCACGTGGCTCTCTTCCGTTGTCTTTTCGGCACCCTGGCCTACATAAGCACGCGGTCTCCTGGCACAGCCGACAGGTAAGTCCTGGCACCTGCCCTCCTGTTCTCGGTCACCCGCTCTTACCCACAGAGACTTTGGTTCTCCCCCCCTCCAACGTTCGGCCTCGGGGCCTTTCTGTTCTGACTGCTCTTCTCGGCCTTGTGTACTAATGCTTCTCTCCAAGCAGCGTCCCGTGGCCGCCAGAGCGGGGTGCGGGGTGCCGTCTGCAGAGTGCAAGGAGGTGTGCACTCCGGGGGTCACCCCCACCGTTCCCTGGGAGACGGCCCAGAGGTCAGAGGACCTCAAGCAGGCAGGCTGGGTCTTCTTAAGGATGGTGTGCGGGATGCGGGATGAGGTCCAGGGTAACGTGGGTCTGCTCGTCAGAAGTCAGACCAGAGATGTGCACTTAATGTCGACATCGCCGCCGTGCCCTGCCCACACTCCTGCCGCAGACCCTCACCTAACCCTCCTCCTCCTTTACACTCATTTCTCTACTAGGGTATTTACCTCCCTCTTTATTTACTTTCCTTTTAGCAGAACTATTTGCCATTTGGTGACAGGCAATGCCAGCTGGTGGAGGGAGGGTTTAGCTTGACATCTGAGGGACTGCTGTCATCAGGAAGACCCCTTCCAAGTCCACCATAGCCTGTCCACTCTAGTCCTCGCTGGGCATCACGGTCACTGACTGTGGGCTTCCCTTCTACTGAGAGATCCCTTCTCTTGTCAGACCCACCTGCCGTGGCAAGAGCACTGTGCCCTCCTCTGCGATCTTCCATGGGCATGCCCTTGCCTTGCTTTTCCGGAGTCGGTGTGTCGGCTGCCAGGAGCTAGGTCCCAGGCTCTCATGCATCCCTACAACCATCCCTGGCTGCCCTGGCTCAGAGCTGCAGCTCCCCCACCCCAGTGCTCCACTGCCTGCCTGGACGGCCTAGGTGGAATGGTGGAGGGACTAACACAGCCCACCGGGCTACAGGCAATTGTCACATAGTCACGTTTTCTTTATGAGGAAAGGAAATTGCATTAAAAAAGGAAGAAAGAAATAGA